ATACCCTCAAGCGGTTAATTGCACTGGAGGTGTTGCTAACTATATCGACAGAATGTTCCTTGGAAACCATCTTTACCGCTGGGCAACAGTCAAAGTACTTCATATGATAATATAGTAATAATGAYAATTTTTATATTAAGAGAAAGGCACAAATATAATTTCTTGATGATGAACTCATAGTTCGAAAACGCTCAACATTTCATAAACAATTTTTTGCCTTTTCTCTTAATATAATTATTTTTTCCTTCTGGCGATTGAAATGACAATAAGGAATTTATTATTAGCAATAACTACCATATTCATCATGGCGGTTAGCGTGCTTCATGATTTAATAGGGCGGATTTGTTTTCTATATATTCTAGACGTTATACAAGACAAAGCTGCCACACGAYCCCGAAGGCTGCCTTGGGTCCCTCACCTCAATCATTCTGGTGTTTTTTGGCGTTCAGGTAAGTTACTGAATATTTGCGTATTTTTTTAAAAGTCCCTTTTGAAAACGGCGTGCGTTGGTTTGTTACTGTTCTATTAACATGTGTTAACTTGTCGATAACACTATCGCGAGCGCTCTCAACACCAAGGCTCAAAGTAATAAACATGCATACAAAATATGTCATGATATTGACCAACATTACAATGGTTCTGCTATAGGCTGGTCGTATATTGCATACATATCCCGACCATAAATCAAGACTGCTGCGATGGACGGTATGGGGAGTATTGCTGGTGGGTAAAACTCATCATTAAGGCATAACGTTCTTAATTATAAGCGTTATCGCATGCATTTTTTGTCCAATCATCTTGGCCTTATTGAATTGCTATGTTTTTAGTCCATTCCAATTATCGATAGCAATCAATAGAACTCTATTCGTCACCGATTTACAAAGGAAAAGAAAATGGTGATTGAAACAATCAAATTTTTACAATACCTTATCAAAAAACAAATGAAAAACAAAGCCATAAATGGAATTAAAATTCAATTTATTACTCAATGTCTATCGTTGTCAAGGGAGTTGTTGGTATTGGTAATTCATTACTCAATGTCTATCGTTGTCCAGGGAGTTGTTGGTAATGGTAATTCATTACTCAATGTCTATCGTTGTCCAGGGAGTTGTTGGTAATGGTAATTCATTACTCAAT